TACAGCAGTAGACCCATGAGTCTGATGCCCGCACGATTTCAGAAGGAGAGCACGTAATCATGCCGCATATCATATGTTTTGGCTCCGCAGCATGTATGCATACATCAGTACGCACAGCGGTAGGCGGTGTTGACAAAGTTTGTTTGCTTGAAGTGCCCTGCAAACAACACGGCTGACGAGCGACTGAGCGTACATCCTAGGATGTTCATCCCCACCGTGCCGAACTCATATTCGACCCCGGATTTGTGTACATGTGTCTTGTCGGTCGTCGCGATTGTACTACATACCATTGCAGAGGAGGGTTCGGCGTGACGAGGATCCCTATCCAGCTGGCCCTCGTGGTGACCTTGTGGCGGCTGTCATGTCCGACGACGTTGATCCGGGATAGACTGTTCTGGGGGTTATCGGAGTCCAAGGTCTGCGAGATCTTCAACATCACCATCGAGGCTATTCACGAGCGGTGGGGGTACCTAGTAGAAGAGTTACAACACCAAGCGATCCTGCCGAAGATTGACGTGTTCTGCCAGGCCATCTGGGATCGCGGTGCTGCTCTTGACAGGTGCTGGGGCTTTATCGACGGTACAATACGCGCCATAGCTCGTCCGTGGCGCATGCAAAGACTGTGGTACAACGGTTGGAAGCGGAAGCACGCCTTGAAATACCAGGCTGTAGACACACCGGACGGTATGATTCGGCAATTGTGGGGTCCCATGCTTGGTCGTCGCCATGACGTGGCGATGTTAGGGGAGAGTGGACTCGTGCAGACACTGCAGCAGTGGTTCAACGACGCTAATGGCCTTCCGTACTACATATACGGGAATCCCGCGTACCAGCTATCCCCATGGCTGATGGCCCCCTACAAGGGCGTGTTGACGGAAGCCCAGGAAATGTTCAACACTTCAATGAGCTCGTGCCGCGTAACCGTAGAGTGGGGGTTCGGGAAGATCGTCGCCTTGTGGCCCTACGTAGACTACGCGAAGAAGCAGCAGGTCGGCCTCAGTGCATGCGGCCTTGGCAAGCAATACGCAGTAGCAGGGCTTCTGACCAACTGTCACTCGTGCTTTTACGGCAATTCGACGTCGAAGTACTTCGGCGTCCCCACCCCGACGCTGCGAGCCTATCTTGCGGGTGAGGGTTGAAGAAGGGCTGCGGTAGTTTCCCCCCTTTTGTCTCCAGTTCCGTGTTCCGTTTATGGTATAGTTATTCTGTGTTTTGATGCAAGCAGAACTCTCCTGGTTGCTTTTGGAGGCTTTTAAACCATGATCTGTTCGTGAGGTGGATTATGCCATCCTTACGAAGGCTACTGCGGTAGTACTCATGTGTGGTTTTGAGCTATGCAGGTGCGCAAGTGCGTGACCGTCCATCGGTCATTTGGATCTTCGGGGTATCTCCGGTAGTAGGATCTTTGGCAAGTTGTCGCGCATTCCTTGCTGTCATGTATTCCGAGTTCCGAATGCGTCTTGCGACTGTTGCTCGCGTGCCTCGGTGTTTGTGATGCACCTGAGTGCCCACTCTCTTCCGTTGCTTGTGTCTACGAGGACGACCAATAAAACGACTTTACCATCTCTTCACATTGTCAAACGGGACAGCCGTGCTCATCCAGCAGCACTCGGCTTGGGGCCAATCAACACTCTAGAGTCTTGTGGCGTTAACGTCATAGTCTAGTGCGGTATACACACATGTCTTCGAACGACTCTGTGAACTCTGGCGGGGGCGAGGCTGGCCCGACTCATGAGGAGCTTAGGACGGTCATCGACGACGCCGTGGGCGACGCCAGCACCAGAATGGAGAAGATGGTGACGGAGAAACTGGAAGGCATCATGAACACCTTGTCCCGGTTAGTGCCCGGGACACCGCCCGCCGGAAGTGCGACCGCAGCGGGCGGCGGGGGGGAGTCACAGGGGAGGACGCACGCCTTCCCTGGCGCGGGTCAGCTAGATCAAGCGCCGAATACTGGACGAGGGCTCGAGGGAGCGAGAGGACTGCGAGGCCCGGAAACACGAGAGCCTACACCACACGGTGCTATCTCGCGAGAGGGAATCAGCAGAGAGGAGCAAGCTTCACGGTATGCTTTCAGCTCGCATGCCCGTATCCCACGCCTGAAACAGTTGGACTTCAACGGAGACGAGAAAAACTGGCTGATGTTCCGAAACGATTTCATTACGCAGGTTCAGACATGTGGGATGGGTCGCGCCTTGAGCGACAGCAGAGACATTGAGGTCCTAGGCGTAGACGATGATGGCATGATAGAGCAAGGAGTGGAAGTAGGGGAGATAGCCATGTACCGGGATTTGTGGGGGATGCTGACCGGAGCGATATCCAACAACTCCACAAAAATGCTGGTGTACGATCGAAAGGGGCCCTCGGCAGCGTGGCGTGCGTTAGAAGAAACATTCACCCCCTTGACCGGCGGCGAGCAGATCTCGCTGATCGGAAAGTTTTATAATGCCCAACAAGGGAAGAACCAGGAACCCCGAGTGTTTTTCCAGGAGTTCAAGTCCGTAGTGACTAACCTAGAGTTGGCATTCGACCAGCCCATCCCAAAAATGCTCGTGTATGCACGGTTCCTCGATGCGCTTTCCCCGGAATTTGAGATTCAAAAGCAACAGCTGCTCGCCCAGAAAACACTCGATGAAGAAGAGATTTTGAGAGTGCTTCGAACACGGGCTGGGCAACTGAAAGCGGAGGAAAAGAAGGGGAAGAGTGATCGGCGAGCGAACCATCATACGTTCGTAGCAGTAGAGGGGAAGGGGGGAGGAAAGAGACGTCCGAAACAAAACCGAGGTTACGAAGAGGCGAATTTAGCTAGCGACAAGAGAGTCAAGTGCTACATCTGTGATGGTGGCCACTATGCGAGTGCATGCCCAGAGAAGCTTTGCCAGAGGTGCGGAAAAAAGGGGCACAACGCGAAAAACTGCCCATCGAGAACTGAAACTGCAGTCGCCGCGATTGGAGGCGGTGGTGTCGAGTTGGACGTCGCATACGAAGCACTCTGATGTTGTCTAGTTCTGTTTTCCCAGCGGTGCATCAACGCCCGTTCGCTTTCGTGCCTTGCGTGCAATTCGGCTCGTCGGCATTCCCCCATAAAGAGCCGATTTTGATGATACGACTGACGAAAGTACAAAGGGGA